GGGCGTGCGTGGGCGTGCGTGGGCGTGCGTGCGTGCGTGCGTGCGTGGGCGTGCGTGCGTGCGTGCGTGCGTGCGTGCGTGCGTGCGTGCGTGCGTGCGTGCGTGCGTGCGTGCGTGCGTGCGTGCGTGCGTGCGTGCGTGCGTGCGTGCGTGCGTGCGTGCGTGCGTGCGTGCGTGCGTGCGTGCGTGCGTGCGTGCGTGCGTGCGTGCGTGCGTGCGTGCGTGCGTGCGTGCGTGCGTGCGTGCGTGCGTGCGTGCGTGCGTGCGTGCGTGCGTGCGTGCGTGCGTGCGTGCGTGCGTGCGTGCGTGCGTGCGTGCGTGCGTGCGTGCGTGCGTGCGTGCGTGCGTGCGTGCGTGCGGAAAGTATTGTAATGTAATGTAGTGTGGTGTAGCGTAGTGTGGTGTAGTGTAAAACAATGCAGTGTAGTGTAATGTAATGTTATAATATATATATATATATATGTGCACACCAAGTTTATGTAATGCAACAAACTAGTGATGTTTATGTGCTGTGAATTGATGTGCTTGGATATGATTTAATGTTGTTCGATTTGAGTTGGTGTGATGTGACGTGATGTAATGTACTGCCACCACGAAGCAGCTCCGACTGGTGGCTGGCGCTTCTTTGAAAGCATTCAAAGCCCAGGACGGCGAAGAGAAACTCGACCAAGCGCCCAAGGGCGGACTTGAGCGACAATTGCTTCATTCAATTCAAGGAGTGATTCAGGCAATGCAACGGCGGTTGGAGACCGTGCCAGCATTGTGATGGGGCTTGTACCTCGGTCATCCCCACGCGACCTGCGCCGGGTCAGTGTCTCCACTCCCAAAAGGAGGAGGACGGCAGGCAAGGGGCGCAATGGATTGTGGCGCAATGTAATGTGATGCAATGTGGCGTGATGCAACGCAATGTAAGCTATTGGCATCTGATCCGATGTGCATTATGTATGTTCGCACGAATTTCTGTATATAGGCATGCACGCACGCACGTATGTACTACCTGTACCCATGGAGGGGGGGTTCTTAGAGCCATGTGCGTGTCAGAAAGCAGTCAGACTGGCAAGTCATGTTGGTTTACGTTTAGAACGGGTCCGGTTTCGGTTTGAGAACGGCAGACAAACAAGTTGCCGCCATGGCAGTTTGTCCGCAGCAAGAGCGCTGTCCAAGCTATTAAGTTTGGGCCTCTAACAAGCCCTGTCAGGCCTTTTGGGCGAGCACAAACGGAATTCGAGGGTCGTCAAAAGGCCATCAACCGGCGACCCCCTATGCACGGCCTCTCTGCGCTTCCTCCCGGATGGCTTTGGCCCGCTCCGCGATCCTGGCTCACGGCGCCACACGCTCGAGCCGAGGGCAGGTCGCCACAAGAACAAAAGAACAAGGTATAATCCATGCGCCCTTTCAAATCCCTCGCGGGAAACGAGGAAACGAGCATGCCCCGTTGGGGTTCCTTATGTCCTCACCTTTGCGCGATAACTCCAGGATACACCCATGATTTTGGTAGGGGCTCACATAGGTCGTCGGATATACGAATATGTATGTATTTCTATGTATATAAAGAGCTGAGCTCTCCCATGCTTTCGACACCTATGCAGCACAGCCCCTCCGCTTCCGCGCCTTTGGCGGACCTCGCTCTGCTGTTGCTCGAACTCGCGCTTCCTCTCCTGAACTCAGACGCTCACGCGACGGGCTTCGCCCCGACCCCGGAGGCCAACAGAACTGTACAATCAAATCATGGTGGATTTCTTGTAGGCAGGAGGCAGGCTACTGGTTTGGATTGGTGGCTTGGGGGGGTCCAAGAGAGAAGCTGACCTTTGTAGGAAACAGGAAATCCACCACCTTCCAGAACGGGCCCCTGTTGCTAGCTCCCCTCCTCCTCCTGGCGCGAGCGCTTCTCCACTGCAGCCCTGCTGACATCCTGGCGGATGTGGCCTCTTTTCACATCCGACTTCCGCGTGAGCCTTGCAATAGGCCTGTTGGTTCTACCAAGATGCTCACAATGGCTCATATGGATATGGGTCAAAACTAAACCATTAGGGGCAGGTTTTAGTCGTTGGTTCCATTTACCAGGGTTCCATTTTGGGTACCGATTCTTGACCCACAGCCATATGGGCGTGACAATCAGAATTCAACCAGGTAGACCAAAATTTTGGGCGCTGCTGTGGACCACTCAAACCCACGAAGCACCAGGGCCAACCTCTGAGAGGCCCGGATTCAGATACTGGCCGAACAAATCAACGTTGCCCTGAGTTGTCCAACAGGATGCCTCTTGTGAAATATCTGCCGAAACCGTATCAAGCGGTGTGAGACGCCACTTAGATGTGTTGCTTCCAAGCCTAAATACCAAGTGCCCGGCTGATGCCTCAACCAGTGCAAGTGGGAAACAAGAGACACCAGCATTTGCAGTAGGCTCACACCAGCTTTCTCTTGCCCCCAGCTCCCTGCCTGGCCATCGCGGCTCTCTGGCTGCGCCTTGGGCCTCGCGCCCTGGCGATCACACGCGCATTTCTTGAAGCGCCGGGATGTTTCACCTTTTCAATTCCAGCTCTTCTGCTCGCCCAAGGCATCTCGTGGTTTGGGGTTGAGGTCAATCCAAATGGCAAATCCACTGGTGACGTGAGAAACCACCCCTTTCAAAGGGCCGAAAACGGTATCTACCCCTTGGCATCAACTCGAGGCTCAAAAACCGACCAGCTCCCAGCTCCCGCCTCCGCGGTGAAGCGGCGCGGCTCCGAGGGCGCCGCTCCCACGGAAGCGCGGCTCCTTGGAGCCCCCCCAGTTTGGGGGGGTAGAAAGACGCACCAACGAGGTCATGTCTTGCAAGACACGGCAGGCAAGGACCAACCTGGCTCGAAAGATGGAAAACCTTTCTCGGGATGGGAACTAAAGGATGAGACAGGGTGGAAACGGACAAGGAAAGGGATAATTGCTGCCCGTGGTTGAAAAAGGGGAAAGAGCAAGGAATGAAAAACCATTTGAGGCCTGTCAAAAAAGAAGCCACTCAAACCAAGTTGGCACTTGACGCCTCTGTGGGAACTGAGGCTTGACAAACTCACCCAAGGATGGCAGTCCGACTCGACCACCACAAAACGCAGGCCTCCAATTTCACCGGTACATCTGTGGGGGGGGGACTCAATACTAGGCTCAGGGAATGGGCGATCAACCCAAGTCCATTCGGGCGCATGAGACGCCCCTGACCATGGTGTCCTGAATGGGAATTCAAATAACTTGCATGAACAGCCCTCACTTACAACTAAGAGACCCCGAAATCAAAGGCGACAAGCCTTCTGTTTTTCCTCGGCTACAAGTGGCCGAGGAAAGGCGAAAGGTCAGGCCCAGCCGACCCAATGGCAACTGAATCATACTTGCTAGGAGTTCAATTGGATAGCCCATACTTGTTTAAAGCCTCTCCAAAATTCATAACAACGGTGATGACCCACAATGATTGAACACAGGCTTCTGCTCGACCCCTTTCCCGCCTCGCAGCCTCACTGCCCCGTGCTTCAGCAGAAGAGCTGCCTCTTCCCGGCCGGGAGGCCTGCGTGTGGCATCTCCAAATAGCTATCCACAAACCAAAAATGCTACATAGCAATATGGGGGATGAGTATGCAGTCACTATATAATATAGCAATATGATTGGCCTGTATGTATGTAAATGTATATATGTATATTATATAGGTATATACAACGCTCGTTTTCGCCCTGGGGCAGGGGTTGGAGCAAACCACCTTTGCATCCGCAGAAATGTGCCCTCGACAAATCGAGATTTATTCATCCCCTGAATTTAGATCCCAGTTGCACTGGGAGACCGTACCCTCTTGTTGCGTGCATGGCAGCTATATAAGGCTATATCTGGGTCATGTTGTTGGAGTCATTCAGTGGACACCTGCAGGACTACTCGACAATGGTCGTTGATTCGGGGGGGATTGCAAGGGTAAGGGCAAGCAGCTGAGTCACATCAAGTTTCACTTCTGTTGGTTCGCTTGGCTGCCCCAGAAAGTAATGTCGACCCCGGATTAATAAACCCCTGTTTATTCGTATGGGGTGTTCCCTCCAAAAGTGATAAATCCCCACTAAAACCAGGGACACCCCCATATGAATAAACAGAGGCTTATTAATCCGGGATGCCCATTAGTCTCGGCAATATACGCGCCACACATGCCTCAGGCTATTTAGGAAAGGGGGCGTGTTCGTAGTCTGTTGAATTCAGTGCCGTGAATTGAGCAATATGGGTCCATCTCATGCTAAGGCTATCATACTATGCTAGGCAACTGCTACAAAACTGACAAAGACGCAAGGAAGTAAGCTGGCAAAAAGGGGTCGCCCCTCAGGTGAAGTCCCAATGCTTCACGAGGGGCGGTTCGGCTCAAGGCACAAGTCAAAGCCTGCGCATGTGTTCCAGAAAAAAAGAAAAAAAGTGCCACGTCGAGGCCGCCCAAGACCTCGGAAATGGAGAAACGCCTCTCAAGCAAAAGGTCCACAGGGCCAGATCTTCTCAGCGAGCGGAGCATGCCAGGGGGCCTCTGTGGATGCATATCTTATTCCAGGAAAGAAAAGATTCCACGAAACATACAGACATGTTGTGTTCCATGTTGAGTGGGAGCCCAAACACCCCTCCGCAGATCCGCACACGAAAAGAAGCCTTAGCAACACAAGGCTTTCTGAAGCCTTGCAAAAGCCTGTGTAACGGGAGCCCTCGGAAGGGTCCTTTGGGAAACGGGTTGGGGTTCCGAGGAGCGTTGAGCAGTTCTAGTTTTCAGGGAGTACCTCAAATGAAAGCCACAGTAACCCAGCCATCTCCTCCAACCAATGGCCCCCCTTTCCAGGTCTTGTCAATAGTGTTCAATGTAGTGCTTAATGTAGTGCTCAATCCTGCAACACCTCTCCCGACTGCATTTTTGCTACCGAACAGACTGGCACCCCGCTCCCTTTTGCAATGTTGTTGGTGTTCGCAACAAGGTGCAGATTTCGGCCATGTTAAATGGGGAGCGCGAGGGGTTTTGTAAACCGTAGTGAAAGCAGCGCCAATTGGTTCTTCTACTTGGCAACCCTTCACCCCAAAAGCGGAGGTGCGGAAACCACTGAACAGTGCACCCCGCCTCTTCTGCAGAGGTACGGACGGCTGCCTGACTGACCAACTGATCCAGGTGGATTGCGCCCCAAACCCGGCGAAAGAATCAGGGCTGAAGCCAATGCAGAATCAACACTTCGAACGTGGGGAACCTGAGGCATGGGGCTCCTGAGATAGGGAACCCCAAAAAAAGGCAATGCCCCAGTTGCATAGCCAGCCCAACACAATCCCTGAGCGAAACCATCTCCAAGCCCCACCGCAAAACGCCTGCAGCCGACCATAAGCCCAAACCAAAACAACCATCCTGTCATCGATCCCAAAACCACATAGGTTATCTCTTCAGGCTTTCTTCCTCTTCCCGTGAATTGCTTTTATTGGTTTTGCCACTGTTCCAGGCTTCCTCCTCCCTGGTTTTCTCCATCACCTCCCCCTGGAGCTTGGCCACCATGATGCCCTCCTCTTGTGCGACCTTTGCCTTCTCCTCATCCCCAGGACCATCACGGCGAAAGGGCCGCCGCAGGTTTTCTTCCCCTTCATCAATTGCAGGCATGCCCTCGTACCAACAAACATGGAGTGGACAACCCTGCCGAGCGCGCGTGCTTCCTAATTCTAATCATGGGTGACTCAACGCCAGTTTGCTATCCAACACGGATCAACGTAGCCTCCAAAACACCCATCAACGCAGAGGAACCTCCTTTCGGGAGAATTATTTGGTTCTGTCAATTCTGGAATCTATTTCAGGTTGGCAAACAAGGCTTGTCTCCTCACATTGCTTGACAATGCACAAACCCTTTTGGGAAGGCCACTGGGAGCAACTGTGCTCTTCTCTGTTTTCTGGGCAAAGAATGATTCACCCATCCAGTGTCCCCTGCAATAGGGAACCCATCGCCAAAGCCCTTTGCGGTTCCAAGAAGAAATTGCTGTAGAAATTCAACAAGGGGGGGTTCCCCAATTCACGGCTTTTCGGGCTTCACACTATGTTTTCCGGAGCAACCGACCGCGTCCACGCCTGCATCGCCTGCTCGGCCTTCTTCTCCAGAGCAGCGAGCACCTCAACGGCAGAAGGCTTGGACCCAGGCATGTCTGAGGGAACCTCTCGGAGCCACCTCTGCTTTGAAGTTGCCGCTTGCCAATGTTTCTTTCTCTCCAGCAGCGCCGGTCAAAACATGCGCAGGAAAAAGTATCCAGCCAGGCCTCTCTGTCTGTGAAGCCAACAAAACTCGATTCAACTAACTAAAGGGATTGGTTGGCTGGTTGGTTGGTTGGTTGAATGGTTGGTTGGTTGGTTGGTTGGTTGGTGGGTGGGTGGGTGGGTGGGTGGGTGGGTGGGTGGGTGGGTGGGTGGGTTGGTTGGTTGGTCAAAGACCCATTCGCAAAAGGACGGCTCTCACGCCTTGCAAGGTTCCTACGATGATGTGTCACTGAGGCGAAACAAACATCGCCCTACTGCTGCAAGGGTCCTGTTGCCAGTGTTGGGTGAAATTGGCCTTGACCTCCAAGAGGAATCAGCTACGTACATTTTGCCCCATGTCACCCTGACCTGTTTAGGCCTCCCATCCCAACGCTGACAAGCCATTGCCTGGGGTGTCAAAAGTTTGAACTTTTCTGTGGGCGCCAGCTACCACAAATCGAAGACAACAAGCACAACTTCAACAAACTAAAATTTTGGACAAACCCCGCCTCTCGGCGCTTCTCCTGGCACGATTGCGAGCACGGAATCTCAAGGGCTGGCTTTGGACCGTCCCTTCAGGATGGATTTTGGGATGCCAATGGTGGGGTGTGTTATGTTTGTTTCCTGTGGTGCCATGTGGCTTCAGACTTGTTGTGTGCTTCTTTTACACTTCCTCCCCCTCTTGAAATAATTCCCTGTCAGGTGCCATGGCAAGTGGAAGGGTTCTATCAGGAGAGCTATCAGGGCTCAGTAGGTGTTACTGCTAAGTGCAAGCCCTGACACTCGCCCATTCGGACTTGGAGCAGTTGGAGTTGCATTGGCACCAGTCATTCAGGCACGAGTTGCTGGTTTTGGCCCAGGAGCTGGGTGTTACTTGCTCGGGGAGTATTCTAATTCCGTTTGATTTAGGGTAGGAGCAGGTGCGGCTCACTGGCTCACTGGCATTCTACACTGGAAGCTTTGACACGTGTTGCTGAAACCCAATACAACAGGCAGCTCCGCCGCAACGGCCGCACATCCTCATCCCTCGCTGGAAGGAGTCTACGGAACCATGTGAAAAGCCCGAGCAGCCGAACCTATGGGTTTGGGACCGTCCCCAAACTTTCAACTATCCATCATTCGTGTGAAGCTCCCATAACTCGCGAAATCGGTGTTTGCCCGATTTACGCACCAAGGATACCGCGTCCGGTCACTTTTCTGCCCCATTTTCGAGATGTGAAGTCCTCGGTCTTGGAAACTTTAAACGATGATGTCGTGTTGGATTTTCTTCCACCCCCCACCCAACTCTCCTTTGATAGAGGTGCACACCTCAAATTTCGTCATTGGCTATCAAGTCCAGCAGCTGGTTCTCAAAAACAGACACCCACTCATGAAGTTCTACGTCAAAAGATGAGGAGATACAGAAGAGTCTACTTGGGTGTGAACTGTGATTCTGCACGAGAGGAAGCAATAGACCACAAGAAAGGCACCATCGGGTTCTTCGGTCGCAAACTAAAACTCGTGCGGCAGTTCTGTGTATTTGCGCAGGTCTGTTCGACTCAAAGGGCTTGGTCCCTCTTTTACTGTTGTGGGATCCACAAAGCAGGGTCCGAGCTCAAACAAACATGTTGTGGGGCGGATTCAGAGCGAACACAATGTTCTGATCATGGCACATATGGGTCTATCTCAAGATGGGGGAACCTTCAAATTGATAGGTGTTCTCTTGAGTTCCCTTTTCATACAACCCCCAAAGAATACCCTATTGGGTGTGTCTTTCATTTGCCCTGTAGAGGGAAACCAAGAGAACAAGTACGTTGTGTCCCTTACGACCCGCACCCTCTCTGGTGATGCACACCAAAAAAACTGATGCTAATGTACCTAGTTAGTCTAGTAAATGTGCGTCTTGGTTTGAGGGTACCTTATTTAGTTGTTTTACAGGCAATCAAAAAACAAATCCATTTTGTGGCCGATTTCTTGAAACCACCAGCCGGAATCATTTTGGTGCCGCCCAGCCCTTGGTCTTGCGGGTTCTCAGCAAGCAGGTAATGACCCCTATAAACCAGGTCATGGTTTCCTTTTAGGGAATCCAACCTCCAAAATCTTGGAGTTCATGGCACCCTTCATGGCACTTTCCATGGCAACCCCCCCACGGCACCCCGCAAGGTGTCGACGCTCGAAACCGCCTGGAGCTTCTTCTCCAAGACCTCCGCCGCCTTCGCCTTCAGCGCCGCCAGGCGCCGCGCCTGGAAGTCCTGCCGCTCGCTCGACAGGGGCGGGGGTCGACCCCAGCCCCCGGATCGCCACGGGGCGGGGCCGTGGGGCCATGGGCCCAAGCCAAATAGCGAGGCTCCCGTGTTCAATGACTCAGAAATGGACAGCCGGCCTCCAAAAAACAGCATGTGCTTCCCAAACCAAGCCAGGTACACCCCCCAGTTTGATCCCCGAAGCGGTTCAAGGTGTGCTTTCCTCTGTTTGCTATGACAGGCTTACACATGCCCATGTAGCACTCATGCCTGCAAACACCTGCACACACACACCAAAACAAAATGTAGTGATCAAAGAGCCAGACCTTCTACGTATGAGGGCAAGCTATATGTATATACATATATATATAGATATGTATGTATATACGTGTGAGTATATATATATATAGTTGCATATGTATATGTGCATGCGTATATGTATATGTGTATATGTGTATATACGTATATATGTATATATGTATATATGCATATATATGTGTGTGTGTATATGTGTATATGTGTATATGTATATATGTATATATGTGTATGTCTATATGTATATATGTCTATATGTGCATATGTATCTGTATATGTATATGCACTGTATATGTGTATGTGTATGTGTATGTATTGTATTTGCGTATGTGTATGTGTATGTGTGTATGTGTGTATGTGTGTATGTGTGTATGTGTGTACGTATGTATGTGTGTATGTGTGTGTATGTATGTGTGTATGTGTGTGCATGTGTGGATGTGTGTGTATGCGTGTATGTGTGTATGCGTGTATGTGTGTATGCGTGTATGCGTGTGTGTGTGTATGTGTGAATGTGTGTATGTGTGTATGTGTGCGTGTGTATGTGTCATGTGTGTATGTGTACGTTCATGCGTATGTATATGTATATGTGTATGTATATGTATATGTATATGTATGCGTATACGTATATGTACATGTATGTGTATATGTATATGTACATGTATATGTATATGTGTATGTGTATGTGCATGTGCATGTGTATGTGTATGTGTATATGTATGTGTATGTGTATGTGTATGCGTTTGTGTATGTGTATGTATGTATGTATGCATGCATGCATGCATGCATGTATGTATGTGTGTATGTAGGTAGGTAGGTAGGTATGTATGTATGTATATATGCATGTATCTATGTATGTATGTATGTATGTATGTATACATGTATATGTATATGTATATGTATATGTATATGTATATGTATTTATTTATGTTGGCTATTATTTGTGCACGTGTGTACAAATATAGGCACATATTTGTACATGTGCGCAAAGGTGTATATATATATATATATGGTCCCGTGTTCCGTGTTGCTACCCCCCCCCCCCCCCCCCCATATGGTATGGGTCCCCAGGACCCCCCCCCTCCCCCCCGGCCCGAGACCCCGAGCCCCCGGATCCTGGCACCTACCGTCCCACCCCCGACCCCACCCCTGAGTGAATGAGTGAATGAGTGAATGAGTGAATGAGTGAATGAGTGAATGAGTGAATGAGTGAATGAGTTGAATGAATTAAATGAATGAATTGAATGAATTGAATGAATTGAATGAATTGAATGAATTGAATGAATTGAATGAATTGATTGAATTGAATGAATGAATGAATTGAATGAATTGAATGAATTGAATGAATTGAATGAATGAGTTGAATGAATGAATTGAATGAATTGAATGAATTGAATGAATTGAATGAATTGAATGAATTGAATGAATTGAATGAATTGAATGAATTGAATGAATTGAATGAATTGAATGAATTGAATGAATGAAATGAATGAATGAATGAATGAATGAATGAATGAATGAATGAATGAATGAATGAATGGAATGAATGAATGAATGAATGAATGAATGAATGAATGAATGAATGAATGAATGAATGAATGAATGAATGAATGAATGAATTGAATGAATGAATGAATGAATTGAATGAATGAATGAATGAATGAATGAATGAATTGAATGAATTGAATGAATTGAATGAATTGAATGAATGAATTGAATGAATGAATGAATGAATGAATGAATGAATGAATGAATGAATGAATGAATGAATGAATGAATGAATGAATGAATGAATGAATGAATGAATGAATGAATGAATGAATGAATGAATGAATGAATGAATGAATGAATGAATGAATGAATGAATGAATGAATGAATGAATGAATGAATGAATGAATGAATGAATGAATGAATGAATGAATGAAATGAATGAAATGAATGAATGAATGAATGAATGAATGAATGAATGAATGAATGAATGAATGAATGAATGAATGAATGAATGAATGAATGAATGAATGAATGAATGAATGAATGAATGAATGAATGAATGAATGAATGAATGAATGAATGAATGAATGAATGAATGAATGAATGAATGAATGAATGAATGAATGAATGAATGAATGAATGAATGAATGAATGAATGAATGAATGAATGAATGAATGAATGAATGAATGAATGAATGAATGAATGAATGAATGAATGAATGAATGAATGAATGAATGAATGAATGAATGAATGAATGAATGAATGAATGAATGAATGAATGAATGAATGAATGCATGAATGAATGAATGAATGAATGAATGAATGAATGAATGAATGAATGAATGAATGAATGAATGAATGAATGAATGAATGAATGAATGAATGAATGAATGAATGAATGAATGAATGAATGAATGAATGAATGAATGAATGAATGAATGAATGAATGAATGAATGAATGAATGAATGAATGAATGAATGAATGAATGAATGAATGAATGATGAATGAATGAATGAATGAATGAATGAATGAATGAATGAATGAATGAATGAATGAATGAATGAATGAATGAATGAATGAATGAATGAATGAATGAATTGAATGAATGAATGAATGAATGAATTGAATGAATTGAATGAATGAATGAATGAATTGAATGAATTGAATGAATTGAATGAATTGAATGAATTGAATGAATGAATGAATGAATTGAATGAATTGAATGAATGAATGAATGAATTGAATGAATTGAATGAATTGAATGAATTGAATGAATGAATGATGAATGAATGAATGAATGAATGAATGAATGAATGAATGAATGAATGAATGAATGAATGAATGAATGAATGAATGAATGAATGAATGAATGAATGAATGAATGAATGAATGAATGAATGAATGAATGAATGAATGAATGAATGAATGAATGAATGAATGAATGAATGAATGAATGAATGAATGAATGAATGAATGAATGAATGAATGAATGAATGAATGAATGAATGAATGAATGAATGAATGAATGAATGCATGAATGATGAATGAATGAATGAATGAATGAATGAATGAATGAATGATGCATGCATGCATGCATGAATGAATGAATGAATGAATGAATGAATGAATGAATGAATGAATGAATGAATGAATGAATGAATGAATGAATGAATGAATGAATGAATGAAATAATTGAATGAATTGAATGAATTGAATGAATTGAATGAATTGAATGAATTGAATGAATTGAATGAATTGAATGAATTGAATGAATTGGTGAAATTGAATGAATTGAATGAATTGAATGAATTGATTGAATGAATGAATGAATGAATGAATGAAAACAAATGAAGTGGTGGCGAGGGTGTTACATTTCAGAAAATGGTCTGAGCTTGCTCAACATGGTGGAAGGATTCTGATTGTTACCTTTCTTTGGTCCTCTCGTTGTTGCATCGAATGAATGCATGGGTGTGTGCAAGATGTGCTCAGCTTGGGTCACTCTCTCTTGCAGTGCGATAAAGTAATAGATGAATGCTTCCAGGGATCTTGTCCGGTGACACTTCATTTTGGGGCATGACTTCCTTCTGCAAGCATTCTGCTAGCAACGGCTTGGTGCGATTCGGGAGGTCTGGGGAATTTTTTGGGGATGGATTGTCAGTTACTTTCTGGCGGTGTGCTGAATTGAGATTTACTCAGCGTCACTGCAAATCTAGTTTCCCATCAAAGTCTATTTCAGATGGGTTCAGGGCTAGCGTGGACTTCGGATGGGCTTGTGGGTTTGGGATGGGCAAACGGGATGGGGTAGGTTTAGAGTTGGTCAGGGAACCTGGCTTAGGGTTGGCTTCGCGTGAGCTGAATGCGGTAGGATTTGAAATCAGGTCAAAGAAAAGGAAGGGCTAGAGCGGCTAGTAGTCTGGATGTCCCGATTTTTCATGGGATCAACTTGTTGACTATCATTTTGTGATCACTCGAACACTTCCCCAAACATTCAAGCAAGTCTGAAACCCGGTCGTATAATATATATATATATGTATAATACACAAAGACCGCGCCTCCCCCTCCCTCCCCGCAACCCCTCCTCCTCCCGCTTTCGAACGCGCCTCGGGTTTCAGGCAGGCCGAAAAGAGTTGCTCGCCAGGTGGAAAGTGAAATCAGCCCGAGCAGCTGGCTGCTTCGGGTTTGTCTCCGAATGCCAAAACTTCGCGCCCGCTCTCCTCACCCCCCAAAAAAACGAAAATAGAAAAGAAAAAGAAGCTGGTTTCCTATGGGTGTGTCTCTTTTTAGGTCTCTTTTTAGGGGGACCACCAAAATGGTGGGGTGTCCTTGTCATTCCCCTTAAAACCCACACAAAAACAGGGGTGCCCTCAAAAATAGACCTCCCCTTTCTGGCGCAAGTCGAATTCCTTCCGCTTTCAACCGGGGCCAACCGGGGCCCCCGGCTCCGCCTCGTTGCGCTGCGCCAGGTTGGGCTTGTGGGCCCAGGGCTCCACGGAGATGGAGCCCGGCGGCATGGAGACCCCTGGCGAATCGCCCCTGTGCTCAGGGGAATGGGGGTCCCCTTGCCCGAAAGGAACTCGAACCTGGGACACCCGGAACCTGAAGGAAATTGAATTGGAACACCCGGGACACATGGAACCTGCCTGGAACCCTGCTGGAACCTCCGGGAAACCTGGAACCTTTAAAAGGACAACTTCCGGAATCCGGGGCGAATGATCATTCCGTGGCCCGCCTGGCGCCGTGAAGGGGCCTGGGACTGAAGCGAGTCACAAGAGCACCGTGGCTCAACCTATCAACGGGTGTAACGGCGTACCTCGGTTTTCCTAATTCTCCAAAGAGTTGCACGTACCTTGATGTTCTTTTGCCCAACTACAGTAAAAAGGAGAGGTCAATTGAAAGTTTGAGGCAAAGCCCCAATGAAAAGGGCCAGACGAGAGCGATTGAGGACCTCCCACCCGCGCCGGGGGTGATGGCCATTTGGCGGGCTAAGGGCACCTGAGGCAATGGTATCAACTTGAGCAAGGCATGGAAGAATCGGAATACCAGCTTTTCGAATCAACACGATCCCAGACAAATCCTGTCTTCCTCAAATAGAACGGCTGGTAAATGGAAACATAGACTAAAACCTGCGCAGGTCAACATGTTGGTCAGCATGGAGGTGAGGCTGGGGCTGCGAGTAAAACGCGACCCAGATTGCCGCAACAGTCGAGGAAGCAGCTTGGCTGAGCTTGCAATTTGTGAACCGGCACTATAGTGCCATGGAAACATAGGGTGGGCGAAAACCAAATCCAGTCCAAAGCTACCTCTCCAATTCGCTGGGGCGCTCATGGCATAGTTGGCGGCCATGAAATGGGGGCCCATACCTGCGAGGTCGCGGGGGCCAAGCCGATGAGACAAGTGCCGGGATGTGCTTCTTTGGACCTTCAGGGTGGTCCTGTAGGGACTTCATTGAGAACAATGGCCCTCTTGGAGGCATGCCAAACTTCGCCCGCAAAAAGCTGGCAAGAGGGCCCTGATTTGATTCCTGAGGGGTCCAACAGAGACATGAGCTCTCATCGTTCATTCAGCAATATTCAGCGGAGGCGAAGACCCCGCAATACGAAGATGAATTTAGTAAAATCATATTGTTTGACATGGGGGGTCCTTATTGAAAAGTCCGTGTTCTTGGGTGGATTCAAGAAAGGAATTAGCCGCATCATGGGTCTGCTCGCAAACCCCTCTCTGAGGTCCCCCTGGAATCAGCCCACATGTTGCTCAGGCAGAACAAAGTGATCGCTTGCGTCCAGGTTACCTCCCAGGGTCACAAGCGGAAGGTGCTCAAACCTGCAGGTTACCCAGGGGGTCCCTTTCAAAGGAAAGTTGTCTTCCAGGACCCCTCTGTCAGGTTCCATGTTAATTGATGGGAGGCTAACTCTTCTCTGCCGGTTTCGATAGGTCTCGAGATGTTCTTCAAGGAGGCCTTGGGAGCTTCCTTTGCAAGGCCCGCCCGGCCTCCCAAGCAGCCGGCCTTAAAGGTTGCCACAACAAATTGCCTCGTGTTGAAAGCAGTGGATTTGTTTCCAAAAAAGCCATTTCATGGGTGTCTGCCTATGAATCAAACGACCAACTTGCAGCTTGCCATCATGGCTTCAACCACATGGAAGCCTTCGCAACAACTCCCAGAAGGACTCCGAACCCTGAGTTCACCCTAGGAAACCTTACCCACCTTGGACCATGAAACGTGGAGAGGTCAAGAAACCAGCAGCTGAGCCACTGGAGCCAACTGCGCAGCAAGCAAAGCAACACAGGTCCGAGAAAAATATGCGTCACAACGTGAACCCATCACGAGCCTATGTAGCCCCCCCACCCCCCTCCCCCCCCCCCCTTCACCACTTGGCTGCAGTATGCTGACCACCTCTTCAGCCAAGGCTATGGCCTATAGTACCCCACTTTGTTAAAATAGGTGAAGCCCCAAAAGGCAAAGGGCCCAATCCCAGGCACGTTATCAAATTGAGCTGCTGCAGGTCCTGGAAACGAGCCCAACTAAATCCTTGGCCGTGCCAGAACTCCGCGAAATCGAGAATTGCGGGAACACCAAATAAGATCAGGTGATATCCCCAACAGCATGCGGTGGAACCCTGGTGGAACCCTCGTGGAACCTTACCTCAGGGCCGCCCCGGACCACCCCGGACCCTATCTGGGCTGAGACCCCAAAGCTTTCAGCTGTTTGGGAAAAAACACTTTCTTTGCTTTGAAATCACGGGAACCCCACAAAACACGTCTCTTTTGTGTTCGAAAAAGCAACAACGTGCCAACTGGAATGAACCTCCCGTGATTGCCTCGCGGCCGGCCGTGGTCCATGGCTGCTTCGCCAGATGGTGGGCCGGCTTCTTGAGGGAGTGAGCCCCCGAACCGGTTGAAAGCTCTGAGTTCTAACAATTTAGATCTTTCGCCCCAGGAAGAACACAAAACAACATGAATAAATGTTGACCGAACGACCTTCTCCAACTAGGACGTTAAACTAGGTATTTGTGTGTTTTCCTTTGATTAGCACTGATTGCTTGTCATGCCATTCTGATGTTTCCCCGAGGGAAGCTAAAATTTGATGGCTCAACACTGTAACTCCCTGGGTCAACCAGCACCGTGAAGGGGATGGGGTACACGTGTCCTATGGCGTGGGTCCCGTTGTAGATGAAGCTCGCAGAAATCCAATCTCACTGAGGACACCTGCTGGATTTTGACCCTCGCAAATTTGCAGGTTGTAGATGCGTATATATGTGTATATATGTATATATATATATGTATATATATATATATATGTATGTATGTATGTATGTGTGTATATATATATATATGCGCTATTTTGGCACTTGGCCAACCCCTTTGTGGTCATTTGTTTAAAGGCGAAGGAAAATACTTCTGCCAATTGTTCATATGCCTGCTTCAAAACAATTTACCCGGCAAAAAAAGACCCGGCGTCCTTGTCAATGCGGGTTGGGCATTCCGGGTCCGAATTTCTATTGAGGTATCTGAGGCTCATATGGTTGAGTCCAGCCGCAGACCTGGGATGAATCTGGTCAAAGCGACTATTCAACCTATATAACAGGTTCGCTTGGATCGACCCCTCCTTGAGACGAGCGCTCGCTATGGTGCTGGGCCACATGCACTTGCTATGCCAACACAAACGCCCCAAAGAAACAAGTCTGCCGTTTGGGGATGTCCGAAAACAAGTTTGACCACTGCGCATGGTCGGCCAATCCTGTCGGCTTCATGTATTCTACTGTACCGGTCTCGAGACTCAACTCTCGGGACTGCCATGTCGCGCGTTTGGGCTCCAGGGGTGCAGGGTGCTGCACACATGACCGGCTTGACTCTAAGAGGTGACCCTCCGCCACTCTTGACTCTCACCGTCCTTGAACCCTTGAAAGCGGGAATCTTGCGATACAAATGTTGGCGGAAGGAAGCGGTGCAACGTGAAGCCCGTGTCGAGTGAACAGATCCTCAGCCCTTGGATGGCAATGGTTCAACAATGGAGGTTTGCAGCTGGTGAGTTTGGTGTCGGTTGTGGGTCCGAAGGCAATTTTCGATGCAACCGTCTCTAGGATGCCGATTGACTCCCTGGCTGTTGCAAGGGGACAAGCACACCCCAATATTAGTCCTTGGTGTTTTTTTTTTGCGTGCTTCCTGTTCGGTCCGTTGCCGACCCAAATCCATGAATCGCCCCTTGGTCCTGAATTCGGGGCTTGAGATGGCTTGCATCATGGGGTCGCCAAGCAAATGTTTCGGCTGCGTGGGAGGGTGAGCAACATGCACATTGAAGCACCACCAAGACATTGTTACGCTCGGGCACAAGAGCCACACAGCCGGGAATGTGTGAAAACCAGTTGGGACCCAAGTGGTGGCAACTAATGTTGTTGAGGTTGTCATTTATTATGATTGTGACTATAAAGTCTAGCATTATCATTATATGTGTTCGTCTTCTTGTTCTTCTTATCAGCTTTATCATTGTTCTTATCAGTATTAATATCAGTGATAGCATTTGCATGTGTATTCAAATTAGTACTAGTGATTGCATTTTGAATGCTGCTGTTAGTATCGCAAATCATATGCATATATATATATATATGCGCACCTGCTTTCAGGTGCTTTCAGGTTCCAAAAACAAAACTCCAAGCCAGAAGTCGCACAAGAAAAGCCAAGGGCAGCGAACGGACGTGGTGGTCCCAAAACCTGCGCTTCGCCGCTTCGTCGCTTCGCCGCTTCGCCGCCGCAGTTTTCGGAGGCCCGCCTGGGTCAAAGCTTTCGCCAAGAACCCGAGGAGCACCTCCAAAGGCCCGGGCACTGGGACCCGGCGCGGCGTGGGGAGTCATTTTGGTTGAGTTGGTACCCCCCAACCCCCCCCCCCCCCCGCATTTTGGTAGCTTCAAAGGGACGCCAAAAGGAAAACGCCGCCAGAGTTGGCAGCTTTTTGGGGGGATGCCCAAATAAAACACACACACACACACACACACACCTAACCTATCCTTGCTTTGCGGAAAGGGGGTCAACAAACGATGAATTATTTACAAAAAGAAAACTTAGATCGAGGTATCTCTTTGGATTGCATGTTGTTTTTTGCTAAAGGAAACCAAAGGGAGCCAGCAACCATGGGTGGTGACCTCCCGCCCAGCGATATGTGGGTTTGTCTCAAAAGGGCTTACCTTCGAAATCAGGTGCGTTCCTGATGGCCTCCCTTGAAACCAACCCCAATCCAAGTACCCATGCAGGTTCTGACTCCATTCCTTTCACTCAACAGCATATCTGCGCCCGTTATCTATGCTTCGTGCAAACAAAAGTATCTGTAGGCGAGAGTGTACTTCATCTCCTTTAGCACAGAGACATCTTCCCATTGCAAACGTGAAACACTGCGTCACTGCCGGCCGTGATCTAATTTTGGTCAATCTTCACTGTGTCCTGCGAAGCGATGGACATTCGGCCTGCAACCCCCAGAAAACTGGTGGGAAACTGGCGGTCGATATGCCGTGCAATATGCCGACGGGAAAAAAATGGGACAAAAATATGCAGGGAACCAGTATGTCTACCATTTGCCCCCATCTACCGCACAGGTGGTTTTCCGTTTTGGACCCCTTCCTTGCCACTTGGGCCTCGTGAATCCCGCCTCTCGGCGCATGGCGACGTCACAGGGTCATGGCAGGGCAGCGCGTTTTTGCGACTGAAACGAGGCGGCTGCGCCGCATTTAGCAAGCGCGGGGGAATTGTCTCAAGTCGGAATCCCTCACTTTGCATAGTGAAGAGGAAGCATCTAGTTGTCCATTGGTCCCTAGCCCACAAAGACCATGGCACGTATTTGGCGGGCGAGGTCAAGATTCAGTTTGCAGGGGGTAGCTGTGAGGCTGTAGATGTGTCATGCTCAAAGCTGAAGAATGATCATGCTCATCCCCGCTCATGCTCCAAAAGACAAAGCAAAACACCCTGAAAGGTCGATGATCAACCTACCACTCCAAGCTCTGGCAATACAAATGTAAGTCCTTCTGCTTGCTTTTGATTCGGCCGTGTCATTCTGTCCTGGCCCAAATTCATCCGGGTTTGTCTCAAAGCAACGAACCCTCCTTCAGAATTGTGCCAAAACGAAACCGAAAGGAACGCAACCTTTGCAAAAGTTGTAGAGGGTTCCACTCTTGAGAAGTACACATCTAGACTCTTCTGTTCAGGCGCGGCAGGGCGGGTTTAGTGCGCATCGTCAAAGAGTGATCATGCACTTCGCTTGCCCTACGGGTCGTGAGCCCCCCAATGCAGACCAAACACCTGCAACCGGGCCTTTCGGGCTCGAAAAAGATCGGGAGCCTTGGGGTGACTGTTGGCGCTTGAAGATGTCAGCTCCAAAACAAGTTGGCTCGTCAAGTCTCTTTTGGCACTCTCGACTTGCACTGCACCAAAGCCACGTCTATCATGGATCGATACCCCATCAAGCAGATAGTTTGTAAAAGCCAACCTCAAAGCTTTGGATTGGGACCATCCCCATCAACCTGCCCATTCAGGAGCGGGGCAGGCCGATCTCCTTTGATTCTTCTCAGTGAATCCCCCACGAGTCTGGCAGCGCTTCTGCGAAATGAGCTTCTGAAAGCCTTCCATGAACGGAACTCCACCCAGCGGAAGTCGTTGCCGTTTCAAAGCAGGGCGATGCATTCTAACGCGGAATGACCTCGAAAATGTCTGGAGGACATAAATCCCTTTGGTCCAAAGGATTCATACAGATTCATGCCCACATGCGAACCAAGGCGCCGGTTCAAGCATCAGCTCCCTCTTCAATCGTTCCTGTGACCGGGTCGTTTAGATCAAACATGCCAAGCCCCGACTCCCACCGAAGCCTTAGCTGAATCGCCGGCGAGGGGGCGCCACCTCTGGATTGGCCTGCTCCAGCTTTTCCAGGACCAGGGAGGTCATCTTGTTCACCTGCAGCTTGGGGGTGTTCAGAAGAAAGGCTCTTGAAAGCTGCTTCACCATAACAATGCTCCGGAAACATGGTTATGTCCAATGGTTCCCACCTGCTTTGAAGCGGGGTCTTGTTCGGGATACCCCCTCTACCCGCCTTCCCAAGAGCCCGGCTCGCTGTCACCAGGTATTCATCAGGGGGTCCCTTCTTATTAGACTCCTTTTCCCCAACTGAGAGTCGTTTGCAGTATAATATTTCAGTGTCCTGGCACCTCAGACTGACAGCATGTCGGGTCAACGCCGGCGAAGTTTCGCGATCAGGAACATGTGGTGTGAGTGCTTCAAAAAGGCACAAAACTCATAAGCGGGACAAAACGTGAGCAACAGGTCTCATCAGGTCCCTTGAGTCTTAACACGTATGCGCCAGCTCTACGTATAATGCAGCGTGACATATAGATGTATAATAAAATGTAGCATGATGTGACATATGACATAACGCAGTGTCATATAACATAGTATAATATAATATGGCACACTCATGATAATTATGTACATAAGAGACCGGGTGAATTTAGCATAATCAACTCATGACATAAAATGATATGACACGACGTGGTGTCATGCCAAATGGAGTGTAGCACAGTATGGCATATCAAAGTATTGCAGGGTACAACATGATATGGTGTGGTGAAATTATATGCAATGTATAGTATGTAAACTATTAAATACTACATAATACAACGCCATCTAATGCAATATATATATATACATATATATATATATACATATCATATACAAAATATAATATGACCTACATATATTTGTTATATTCTGTAATAAATATAATATACAGTATACAACATGCCATGTATACAATATGATAATGTAGTTATATATATATATGTATTGTGTATAATTTGCAATAGTGTACAAAGACATAGCATAAACATATTATACCATAATACAATACGGTACAGTACA